TTTCGATAGGCATATGATTAAACTTTCAGCAATACCTACTAACTATGTAGTATCGAAGGAATATTCAAAGCCACATTATTCAGCGTTTTTGTAAGATGCTCATGCATATCTTTATAATTACAAAGTGGCTACATAGAAATACTGTGTAATATAGAGTTTAGTATATAACGTATCGTATGAGTTATACTGTAGCCGTTAATATGTATCTAGGTTCATTAAAAATTTACCTCTCTTCACTAATGCTCTAAGCGAAAAAACTAAAGGAAATACAAAAATTGCTTGACAATTTTATTTTAATGAAATGAAAGTCACGGGTAATAATTAAAAAAGCCTCATGATGTGAGCAAATAAACGACACTGAACAACTACTTACACTGCTATATTTAATAACATTTTTTTTGTTTAAAAAAATTTAATTACAATAAAAATGTATTAATAATAACAACATTTTTATGATGCAGATCCTCTAGGCAAACATTCAAATAAATGTAGCTCACGAGTTGTCCATTATCCGACAGATTGCAAAATTTCTTTTGCATATAGTCGACCATTGAAATGCGGTCATGGAACAATTACCCGGATGACTCGCAACAAGAAGTTATAAATTACACGCGATCCACTAATGAGATTTTTATCGGATTATCGGCTAAAGTTTTATGAAAATATCGCGGCGTGCTCGGTAATTTCACGAGAAAAGAAGCTGAAAAAAATGGTCGAGCCGTCGTTCGCAGAGATACGAATGTGTCCAAGTCCAATATCCGTATATATTCAATTGGCAAGCGCGCGCGATACTCTACAATTCTCTATAAATCTTGATGATCGACCAGTCTTCGGAATCTTCTGAATCGTCAGCTGTTGAATCGAGCTTTTTCACCTACGCCAAGATTTATTGCTTTATTTTAAAGTTCTCGTGTGCTCGACGCCACGATTTATTGCCGCTAAAATTAATAAAAAAAAGAATATTTTCTCCAAATATCCAAATGCTTTTTCTATCGATACATTTCTTTTATCTACCGGATAGAATCTCAATTTTAGTCAAAATGTCATTTGGCTTTATTTATGTAGTAAATATGACGAAGTAAATATGAAAAATTTCAAATTCTTTTGTATTGTATTTTAGCATGTCATCAATGTTTAAGCTAATTTCTGAATAACGTCATTGATTGTAATTTATGTTTGCAAAGATATAATAAATACTGTAACTTACTAACACTGGTAATTAGATAATTGAAACGTACAAAATATTCAAATTTTAAAAAACAGAAGAACAGAAGTTTAATTGCACAGAAAAGATTCTCCAAAATTTTTACAGATTTCTTTCAGCCTCATGATCAAAGATTCCCATCAATCTCGAGATTCTCGAACGACAAACGAGAATAAATGAGACTGTAACGACGCGAGCAAGCAAAACGCTGACGGGCCTCTCTATCGTCAAAGCTTGGGCAACTGGCAGCGATAATTAAAGAGGCTATGCCATAGCAACTATATCCCTGGGTCTGGGTCATTCGAGTCTTCAAAGGGCCAAAGCGGGCAAACTAGTGGACCTAGTATGTAGCTACAGCGTGGTGTGGGCGGCTTCTCGACTTTTCAATTCGCACACGGCTTACGGTTACGTTCGCGCATTTGATCTGCACCTCCGGAACGTTAATCATCCATATAGCCAACCCCGGCTTATTGGGCACAGATGTGATTAATCTGATGGAAGAGTTTTCGCTTAATAGATACTTCTAACCTTACCATACAGTTCGAATAATACTGTATTGCAGTTATCGTTATAGACTTGGATTCCGATAATTTTCAAATGCGTTTTATATAAATAACATTATATAAAAAATTTCTTATACGCTGCTATATTATTAAAAAATGATCTTCAATGTAAAACATATTTTTTCATTTGAAAAAAAAAATTATCATTTCCAGAAAACGAAGAAAGTTTCGTTGATTTCAGAAAGTTTTTCTGAGAAATGCAATAACATTTAGAGAACTCTTTTTGTAATGTAGAGTAGGGTGGCGTAATATGCCACCACGTATCTATCTACAAAGTTATTGGTATTGAAAGCGATATATCTGCATATGTAAAGTTAATTTGTTATACATATTCGAATGACACCGAAACCGATGCAGTGCCATCATTTTTTCGATCATTTTTCTTCACAATCTCATTTTTCATTAGGTTTTTAATAAATTAAAAAATGTTTAATTACTAATAGCTTCGGAAAATATAAAAATGAATAAATGTTATAAGCTCAAAATTATATATATTATTAAAATATAATGCTATAATTACAAATCCATTGTAATAATACTCAATAATCCATATTGAGTATTAATAAGTAGCTTTGAAGAATATTATTGCTACAGCTGCTAATGTAAACTTTGACTGGAACATACTAAGCAATTGGCTACTTTCTTGAAAGCGGCAAGTGTTCAATACGTTTTCAGGTTCTGGCAAATGCATACAGTTTATTCTTCTAATTTGAATTTGTACAAATGTCTAGCAAATATAAAAGAAAAAGTGATAGAGCATGTCGAGGAGAAGTACACTTTTCAAAACCTATGGCATTTTATCTACCGGTATGGATGATATGCCACTTTCAAGGTACGAGAAAAAATGTTTGTTATTATTCATAAAATTAATCAAATTCGTACTATTTTTATATATTTTATACATTGTTAGGCCGTGATTGTGTGACAACGTTTTTATTAAATTAAATTAATATTTAGTATTTTTTCACAATCTTCACTTTAGTGTGGTATATTCACCCACCCTAGCCTATTATTTTTTAACATTAGCAAAATTGTTTTTTTCCAGCATCTATTGATCTATCAGATGATTGATGTACTGATGCATTAATCAAAAACTAGAAAAATCGAGGAACAATATCTTAATTTCAAATCAAATGAAGTGTCAATTAATTATTTTATAATTGACTATAAATGTAGAGAAGGGGTGAGACTAAGTGAAAATAATTATCATATTTAAAATGATTACGCGAATTTGCATGATTTTGTTCTTGGTCAACTGAAGCTTATTTCCGAAGTAATTTTTTGCGTAGAATTAAAATCCGAAATTTAAATTTGTCTATTACATCAGGTTTATAATTAGATATCCTAATTGAAAGAATGAAAACTACTGTTTTTTAGTATATTTGAGGTTCCATAACATCGTGGAAAAATATTTTCTTCTATAAACGGAGAGAACTGCCCGAAAAGCCAACTTTAATCCTTTAGAATTCATTGTTCAGATTTAAGATATCTTTTTTTTCAGCTGATCACTAGATGGCCAACCTTGAGAACAGCTCGTTTGGGGACTTAATATTAGTTACAACAGCCGCTATTGCAAGGCGTAGATCGCAAACACGTGTGCGCTGCATCGTGTTTCCTAAAAATGACGTTTACAAGTTTTGTCCGAGTAAAGTATCATTAGCGTATAATGTGACTCGTTGGCCGTTCTACAACGTCTTAAATGTTACTACCACTATAGGCGCGCCGTCTGTTTCCAATAATGTGTCAAATTCTCGCTGTTATAGTTCTCGGGTTCTAATTTTCGCGTAGAGCGACCAAGTTCTGCAAAGTACCCTGAAACTGCATTTGAAATGATAACACAAATAGTTGGATTTAGGAAAAAAGAAAAGCCGACAAGCATTATATAACGCGGCATCGCGTTTTTCGTGAGATAAATGGCATCGTCACTCGTGTTACGAAAATCTCGTGAACATATATATAGGTATACGCCAGACGCGCGCGAAGCGAAATATCGGCTACGGGCAAAACATACACACGCATACCGCTGTATACCAGAACAATGACGAGGCGAAGCGGGCATTAAGCAAATGTGACTGCTATAAATTCGTCGTTCGTCCCATTGTTTCGTGAAATAAACGCTGTGTCGATGCTTTATAAAAAATTCAACGGAAGCTTTCGGCGAATGATCGGCGGATGAGGCCTACCAAGCTTTTTTTGAGTAAATAATCCATTGTGGCTGAAAGATTGATTGGTAAAAGATTTGAAAGATGAATGGTCCGTGCGAGCATCGTTAATTGTTTAATTCATTCCCGGGTGTTCCCCGGCGTGGCCTTTTATTCGCGCGTTTTATTATTCGATCGTCGATACGCTATTGCCGAGAGATCTGAAACAAGGTCAAACAAATATTTCACGAACTTACCCAAAATGCTAAGTGCTGCGAGATTATGGCTCAGCATGCATATTATATTTGATGCACGTTGTGAGCGCATATTATTATTATAACCCAGTATTTTCATTATTATACATTATACTGTTGTCGTGAAGCTAAGCTATGCAATTCTATTATCAACATTATACAAAACTAATTTGATTATGAGATTATGAACTATGCAATTTGCATGATACTGTGTAATTCCATTTCGATTGGAAATTGATGAACTCAACACAACGTCTATTGAACCGAAATTAATAGTGCATGAATCAATTAATATTAATGAAATGCAAAAATTATGGATAGTTTATAGCACTCTAGGCTTTACGAAAGGTACAGTTAAAAAAATGTAAATAATTATTAATTATATGGACTCCTCTGTAAATAACAATCCAAATACACCGTTTTATTTTATTTTTTTAAAAAGTTTACATTACTATTTATTCTAGACTTGTACTGTATGATTCGAGTAAGGAAGAAATGAAAAAGGATTGCCAAAATACGTAAATAAAAAAATATAAATATTTCCGAAGCATTGAAGATACATGAGAGTGGTAGACTATAAGTCTTACTTATATATATACTATAGAATTTTAAGCCAGCAAGATTTATTCTTAAATAAATATTTAGCAAATCTTAGAACTTGATTACGTATTCGATTAAAAAAATTGGCCTTTATAATTATAAATGATTATAGGAAAAACGAAAAAATCGAAATATCTTGAATTCGCTGTAAAGTTGCAATATAAAGTCGTTTATGTAAGGATTTATATAATGATTATAATTGACATTTGGTGTTAATGTTACACAGAATTACTCTCACCCCAATTGCAAACAGAAGTATCCAAGAACCAAAAAAGGGGACCTCGTCACTCGCGCGTATTCACCAAACTCCCTCTCTGTCTCTCACTCAAGCTATTCTCATTCGAGCAAACAGTTGCCTTGGTCACGTCCCGAATCGAAAGCCCTTTCTCTGTTTTTCTCTAGGTGAGCAATTTATACGAGCACTTTACCGCGACAGGCTGCTGGTTGGCATTGCACTTGCCGATGATCTGATTGCCAAGCCCCGAGGAATTGCCTAGTAGTAGTAGCAGTAGTAGTAGTAGTAGTAGTAGTAGTAGTAGCTTGAGGAGTTTAGATTTTCGGTACTCGATCCTTCTTTGAATTCCATTTGGATTCCGATTGGTCTTTCTTTCTTTCTTTCTCCTCCTTTTTTATTTGTATTACTTCTATCCCTTTTTATCGAATTGTAGGCTTGTCTTGCCGCGTGTTATACTTTCGAATACGAGTTTCTTTTTTTCCTTTTCGCTATAGTTTTACGTTCATTAAATTGCTGGCGTATTTTTTTCAACTATGCACAATCACGTTTTCCATTCGATAATTTAAATGGTCTTTCGTCAGTACACTCACGATTACCACTGTAATTGGCAATGATTGAAATGTGAAATGTAGGAGTTATTATTTTATCATTGAAAGTTTGTTGGCTCGAGTACAAGTGTCACGCGGCATGAGCTCGATAACAATCGGTTCTCGCTATGCGTACGCGCCGAGGATCGGGCGGTGACTGAGCGTACTCTCTTTCTCACTTCACCTCATCTCTCGTGGAGTCAAGAGATTCGCTACTGCTGCTGCTGCTACTGCTGCTGGCGTCGCCTCGCGCACCCTATACTGCGCAGCCGGCAAAACTGTGTCGCATGCCATGCTATTCGTCTTCTATTCGCAGCTTTGTGGTAATATGCGATTTCGAGGCTTGCAACCTTCTAAACTTGTCAGATTCAGAAACATTTTTTTAGCTTACAGTTGATTATGATATTCCTGCGATACTTCGGTATACGACAAGTAAGTCAACGATATGATTTTATTTTAATATTTAGTAATCTCTTGGAATACTTTCAGCTTGAGAATATGTATAAAATGAAAGAAACGATACAAAAGAATTAAACCTGATATTATATTTGCGTGTAAATTGCTTTCCTTTATGAAAAGTCTACCTGCCACGAGGCCAAGGTACAATATAAAAGTCAACTGCAAAGAAACAGAAAGCCAGATTCGCTCAATTATTACTTTGCCTTTGTATTTTTAATTTTTCTCGTGATGTAAATATACATTTTTCAATCTTGCCAATTTCATAAATCATCTGAAATTACAAAGTTTCCGTCTAGTACCAAATTACCTAAAGCCCAATTTCTGTATTGCTTTATTCTTTCTTTCTAGTCGTTCTCATTTTTGCTCTTTTCTCATCAACATCGTCTCTAAGTAAAATTACATTATTCCCCAAGCTGCATTCCGCTTCTTTACAATATTTCTTGTCCAATTTGATTTCTGAAGATCAAATATCTGTGACGTTTGAAATATTTTTCTCTTGCATCCTTAAAAGCTTGAGCCTGAAACATTATATTTTCTGGAAAGATAGAGCAATAAAAAAGTTTTACATAGAAAAATTTATCAGTGTATTTGCCGTTTTTACGTTTCTCAAAGAGTATTTCTATTAAAATAAATGTATAAATATAAAAAAAATGATTGACAGTACGACTACGTTCAGTTTCTCTCTCTCTCTCTCTCTCTCTCTCTCTCTCTCTCTCTCTCTCTCTCTCTCTCTCTCTCTCTCTCTCTCTCTCTCTCTCTCTCTCTCTCTCTCTCTCTCTCTCTCTCTCTGTCAGCTAAGCAAAATATTCCTCGACAAGCGCATTCTGTCTTCATCGGGCAAGCAACCAGGCTGTGTATCTCCATGCATATGCGAGGTCTGTCTGGTGTAGAGGCGTGCCACGCCTCCCTACCCATCCTACACGACTTTCCCATGCATCTTCTCTCGTTCTCTCTTGAAAAAGTTGTCGTACCTAAGGTTGACTTTGACTACTTTCCACGCGTCTCCTACTTGTTTTTTTTTTCTTTTGTTTACTGCACTCTTTATTACTCTACACTTACTTTTTCCTGTGCATTAAGTTGGATCGCCGAATAAATAAGTTGGTAAATGGTATGCCAAATAGTTTTTCTTTTGAATACACGAAGAAAGACAAAAACAGGCTACTTGACTTTTTACCTGTGTTAGATTGTGATGGAGGCATCGTGAACGCAAAGTAGAAACAAATTTATACGCTTCCATTCGATGCATGATTGCATAAAAAACTGGTAGTATATTATTATCGGTCAGAATTATTATCTTACATTGCACAAATACAAGTTAAAGAACAAGTTATCAAAATAAAACGACCAAACATAATATTTGAACGAACACGAATTGAACATTATAGTCTTCTTGATTTCTTTGACAATAATGAAGAATAGAATTAATATAACTCTTTAGCCGCTTCAGCTTTCGAAAAACTATGTTTTAAAGCCAACTGTTGAAAGACGATGTTATTATTGTTGTTTCAATATTTATTTATTTTTTTACTTTCGAATTTGGCTTTCAAGGTTTACTTTATAATTGTATTATTTCTAAGCATATTCAAGTATTGAACAGTACTTGTTATTAGGCGCTTTTCAGTGGAATGTTCACATTTAGAAAACTTAATTTGTCTCGTTAGAAGTGGTTCTGTTCAGATGAATCAAAGATTTGATGTATATAATTCCGCTCTAAATATTAAAGGTTTTAAGTCAATCGCAAAGTCGCCGTTAAGTCTAGAAAAGCTTTATTTCAATAAAATTCGCCTGCATTGCAAAAATTCTTCAATGTAAAAGATTCTAAAAGGAAGTTATGAAATATTTGAGTAAGTCCGTTATCAGTACAACTCACTACTTTCCTCATCTCCGCATTCATTACTGATGATAATCAGCGCTATGATTCGCTAGATTCGCATTCTCGTTTTTTGTATTTAAAACAGTAAAATATTGCCTACTTTTCACATATAGTGTCTTTTATTTTCAAGCAACTGCTCTTGCGTACATATGTATGGACAGAAATCAAAATTGATTAAGATTTATGGTTAATAATGTAGAGAATTTCATTCGCTTTTCAATGTTCTAATTGAATCATTGAAAATTGAACGTATTCACGGAAAACGTTATCTTGGATGTACTCGTAGTAAAAAATCTTCCGATCGTACTCTAAAGTCTACTATCGAAACTATTGTACAATCACGAAATATAGTAACTGTAAATGTTAAAACTTGATTTAATTATTATTGGAAAATTGAATGTGTCGTAATCAAGTGCGCGATCGAAGTATAAACAAGCATCGATAATTTAGTCCAGCAAAGTATCGAAACGTTTTTAGCGTTGAAGTTATCGGCTTAGCGCTGGAGCTCGCAAAGAATTCGATAGTTCTCTCCGCGAAAAGGGCGACCGAAATCCTTAGCGCCGGTATTCCGGGCATTTTCAATTTCCTCTAGCGCGCTTCTCGTGCATTTTGCGATCGCGCGCTCTCTTTTTCAAGCACGCTTCTTCGACTTTTGCATTTTCTCGTTCCTTTTATTTTATTCAACCTTGGCCGATCGGCAACCTCTTGCTTACGTGCTGCTATTTTTTAATCGTTTTTTATCCCTTTTTTCGAAAGTTTTGTCTTTCGTTTTCTTACATCGTAACTTGTGAATATTTGAAATGATTGAGTTTTTTCTAGAGCTCGTTGAAAATTAAGTTTTTTTCAGTGGTATGTTGTTTTTATTATTCAGATCAACATTTCCCATCATAAATTTCGTAAATTTTTTCTCATATTGTTGAATACTATTAAAAAAATAATCAGTATACCTTATTACGCCGACTTGTAGATCAAGAAACAGCCAAGCCATAATTATAATTATTAATTTATTAGTTTTTCAATGTGATTTACAGGTACAATAAATGCTTTTTGTTCATTCGTTCAACATTTTAAAGTAGGTACATCCCAAAGCTTTTTCATAAGATAGACTGCAACAAGGTTATTTACGCCATGCAACAATTTGCAATAGTTATTTACCAGTAATCCCTCATCAAGTATCGCGAGTGTGTATATTCTCATCATTCGCATTCCACCGCGCGCTAGCAGTTCCCAAGCAGTAGCCGCGAACTTTTGCATGCGCGCGTCAAGATGCAGGAATCCGCGAAGCGACGTGTAATACCTTGGGGAGGCGCAAGAGGGGAAAGGTGGAACGCGGTGAAAACAATGAGCAATTAATGCGGGTTATTCGCCAACCATCCTCCCCTCAAGACCTGACATTTCTCCCTTGTAGAGCACTACTGGCCCTTCTTCTTCCAGGCAAAGTTCGCGACAAAGGGGACAATGCAGCCGCACTGTTTCCAACGTCAGCTAGAGTCGAAGAAAGAGGAGAAAAGGAGAAACGGAACAATCCGATAAGGCCTCCATGGAGATGCGCAGATTGCGGCGGCGTATTTCAAATTTCACTAGCTTCCCCTTGCCTCCGCTTCCTTTCTCTCTTTATCTATCTATATCTCTATCTCGTTCGCTAGCGCGGCTCCTTTAATTATAAAAGTCCTCGCGTCATTCGAATCTACGCTTTCTCTCGCTTTCCCTCTAAAGTTCAATATCGAAAAGCTTTGTCTGCTCTTTCGCGATCTTTTAAGGCTAATTCTGCGGGTAAAGACTTCGTAATTCTTTGACGAATCGTACGTTATTCTATTTGGTAGGCAATTTTATGGGGTAATTTTTATTTTAATTGCGGGCAAGACTGGTAATCATAAAAAAAGAGGACGAGTACGTGAGTGGAATGAGGTTGAATGTTAATTGAAATTTATTCTAAAACAAATAGGTCAAATAAATAAAAAAAGAAACTTGATACAAATACAAGTGACTTAAAATGATCGGACTATAATAGCATAGCTAGCGGTAGACTCGTAGGCCTGTACAAAGGTGACGAATACGTTTGAGTGCGCGATTGGCCAAATAAGACACTGAACGCAGAGAGCTCTCTTAGCTCGACCGTTACGTAAAGGCCGCTGCGAGTGTTGAAAGGGCACACCACGACAATACCCACGCGAGACGGCCTCGTCGCCTTGCGGGTGTTGAGAGTGAACGTAGATGGCGCGCCAGGACAGCATCCCTTATAGCCGCCGAGGGGCCTAGTCGAGAGCGTGGATACGTAGCACAGCATTCACGCGTACGCGAAGAAGGCACATAACAGTTTTTTTGGTCGGGACAGATACGCGGACTTGATCTTGTCGATGAAGCAGTTACTCGGACGGTGTCCAACGAAAAAGTGACGAGAGCTCCGTTGCCGACAACGCGACTCTTCTCCCTCCTCTCTTGTCGCGAGCGAGTGAGAGGGAGAAATTTTCCGCCGCCTTAGTAAATTGGGCTTAGCTGAATACTCGAGAGCGATCGCTTCGCAAACATTATGTTAACAGCAAAGTAAAACGATGGCTCTGACAGCATTCGTCTCAAATTCAGATAACTCGAATGAATCACCTTAAAGCGCAAGATGTAAGCTTGAAGATAGGTGGGCCCGATACATTTTAATTTCGAATCGGCATTTGCTAATGTAGTACGGCGATGGGACCTTATGTTCTTCCTATTAAGCAATGAAATTTTCATATGTCAATCAAATCATTCAATGTTTCGATATTAGCTTGACCAAATATGCATCACTCCGACTATTCTGATGTATCCAAATAGAAAAGTATAGTGCACCATTCGGTTTGCCATTCCTTTTCTTTCGGAAGCGGACTACTTAGTTCATTTAAGTATACCCATTATGGAGCTATACCAACTAATAATGAATAAGCATTGCAATATTTTTCAACTGTAATTATTTATTTATGTGCTTAATAAAATGGATGATTTACCAATTCAGAAAAAAGCTTATTTATTCCAGTTATCAAAGTAAAAAAATTGATTTTTTTAGTATTCAAAATTAATATTCGTTTCCAATATTTCTAAATCTAATATTATAATATCATACTAATTGGCTTATGGGATGAAAATGCAAGGAATATTTATAAAATAAGTCGTTTTACTACAAAAATTATAGAATATAGATTTTTATTCAACTTCATGCATTTTACCATACATAATCTACATCACGTTAACATACATCAAAGTATCATAAATTATATACCGCGATTTCCTCTTTCCAATCTAATTCACACGTGCTTTATCCGTTATCATTAACTTTGACATAAATTTATATGTTCTGTAACACTTTACAGTTAGATTTAATTTTCCTATATATTTCATTTATTGTTATTTTAGGATTTCACTTCGATTACGGTTGTTCTAAAAGAGTATTGAATATAAAAAAATTGTAAGTACAGATAGTTTGTTACAACAGTACTAAGTATGGAGAAAGAAATAATATTCAACGTAATAATTAGAAAATCAAACGTTTCATTATTAAAAAAAATAACATTAACGGTATAAATCAAACCATTATTTTTTTCAGTTTTCTGTAGCGTCCAGTTGTTTGCAAATAATAAACAAACATTGCAATTCGCCTATTCAAATACTTTGGAATTGTCTACAACGTATGTGCCATTTCAATTTTATATCTTTAAAAGTAAATATATGAACGACGCATTAACAATCTGTACTTTATTGAACAATGCATTTATATTTCTAATTTAAATTTACCTTAGCCATGGAGGAATAAGTTTTTTAGTATAAAATTTTCCAATTTTTAAATATGTACATATATATTCAATTAATTTATTTTCTTTTTTAACTACTTATTTCGAAGAGAAAGACGCTGGTTCTGTATATTTGGATATGCTATTTGCAAAAAGGTTAGATTATTTACAAAGAGATAAATGTAAATTTTGGCACTTTATCGTACTTTTATATAGTACGGGTATTTTTGTTACACTCATTCACTTATTTAAATTTAGGCATACGGGATTATATCGTTTCAAAATATACACGAAAGAAAATTTCGTGATTTCATTATCTAAGTTTAAGCTCGTTATATCGTCATTTTATTTTCAGGTACATTTAAGCAACATTTAAAACGTTCAAGGAAAACTTCCTTTTGCAGTGTCACATTATAATTGTAAATTTAACTTTCTTCCTTGTAACCAAAACATTGATATTCAATAAAAAAATTTAACTTTGTAATGGTATTTGTTAACAAACAATAAGTATAAGTACATCGTAAAGATTTTATTATTATAAATTGCACAGAAAGAAAAATTGAAAGTTTAACGTCACCATAAAAAAATATAAAAATTACATAATTTCGTATCCATAAACATTAATAAATCGGCATGCCAGTAAATCCCTTTCAACGTAAATGTATTCAAGTTGACAGTTGTAATTAAACATAAGCTTATATTATAATTTCATATTTTTTGAAATCAGCTCAAAAGAACAATTTCTTTCCATGCGTTCGCATTAATTGGTAACAATATTTGTAACAATGTTCTTTATTCAATACATGACAGGTGTAATTGGAATACTTTAGTGCAAATAAATATGTGATTATTTCTTTATTCCATCTAACTGTGAGTACTCCTTGACAAAATATATTATTATGAAATTAGATGAAAGGGAATTCACAATCGAACTCTGTGAGACATCACAGATACACTTGATGCATATCATCTTTCAGACTCATACAAATGTACTAATTTATTATGTATTAACTAGTACATAATTTGTGTACGCGAATTCATTGAAAAATGTATCAAATTTGAAAATCTAAGGAAATTGAAGTACAAAGCTGTACTTTATTTGCTTTATTGATATTGATAAAACTTTAATCCGCCAAAATAACTTGATACTCTTTTGAATAAGATTAGGTAAATATAGGTTAAAACAAAATGGCTATGCTCTTTACTTTCCTTTTTTCATATCTTTTTTAAATGGGTTCTCAATAAGATCGAATCATTAACGATAAATTACATGAACGTCTAAATGCAGACAATTATCGCCAGAAAACATAAAGCACTGTTTCATACAGCTTTGCGAGTCAGTCACTGTAGAAATTTGTTTTTTCACATCCATCTTCAACGCAATCATCAATTGAGAGACATTAGTCAAGTGAACAATAATATAAAGGATTGAATCACGTGTGTAATTGCCTCATCGCGTTGAGGAATGATAATCCCTCCGAGCCAACTGAAGGGTGTACCTTCGATCGCGAAGCGCTCGACGTCGCCGCTGACGAAAATCATCTTGTTGCTGCTGTTGACTCTGCTCCTTCTGGCGCAACAGCGGCTTTCTCAGACGTGTCGGCGTGCCAAGCGCGATTATTCTTCTCTTGGCTTCCTCAAAATCAATACCAAAGTCCATCCCTGGACTGGGCTTCTTTAGTCCCTATCAAACCTGCAATTAATATTTATTATTAAAATAGCCAGATAACGACAATAGCTTTTGAACAATAATAGTTTTGCGTCAAAGAAAGTTGCAAATAAAGCAGCACCGACCTTCCAGAGCAGGAGATGATTGGTCGAGTCCTCGCGGCCTGCCTGTAGCTCAGCCGACGCTTGAGGTCCACGGAAGTCTTCGTAACCATCTCCACCAGAGATAACGAGTAATCGTCCACGTTCGACACTATTACCACTACCGTTAGCATTACTTTGCTGTGCTCCTAAGGATTTGCTACCTTTCAGAGAATAACGATTGGCCTTAGGTCGCGGCTCACTCTTTGATGGACTGGCTGTTTCTACGCATGTGAGAAAACGCACGTGACCCGTGTGTCCGTGCGGTATGCCTGGTGGAATTATCAGTGATGTCATTATTATTACTCTGCGCGTTGAATTGAAAGTTTGCGAAAAATGAATAAAGCAAAGCTAATAAAGACAATGTTCTCTTGGACACGATTGAAAAATTTGTATTTGATTTCCACGAAATATAATGAAACCTCGACAAGAATCTATAGACAGTCGTATATTATGTCATGTCTATATCTGTACCGGTAACAAGAGGCACTTGCGACATCCTCTGAGTGGAGGATTTGATGTGTGGTATGGGTACTGTTAGAAGAACGCCTGCGCTTGTGCCAATCCACAGAAGCTCGTTGCATGCCAATAGCGCGGTGACCCGTAGGCACGCGGCCTTATGCTGCCGAATTATGTCATCGCAATCTGCAACGAGAGGAATGTTATTGTTAAAATAAATTTCAGACGAGATTGTTGAAATTATTTGAGAAGTAAGGCTGAGCGCATGGCGCAATGTTGAATCAATTCTTTTGTCTTTTCCGAATACCAGTCAGACGTAGATGTTATTTTCCAAGCATTTTCTACGTGTGATTGTTTAATTGTCAGCTCAACGTCCAAAATACTTTATTAAGCTCGAGTCCCATTGTTGAGAGCTCAAACAATACTGTAAAGCTGGCAGCTCGGAGTCAACACTTACTGGCAAGCATGTTGGTGACTGCAGGCGCGATATTGACGTCAGCAAGGCACTCGAAGCTGCCGGCGTGGAACAGCTTGAGAATAGCGCTGTTGTAAAGTGATATCCAGACGCCGAAACCACCTGAACTCGCCATACACGAGATCGGCCGGTTATTGTCGCTGCTCACACCGAACGTATGCTCGATTACCAGTGAGTACGGATTCAGAATTTTCACGCTATTGTGACTGGCGCACCACAATTTACCCGAGACTGGTAGCATCTTTGTTACGGGCGAGGCAACTGTGCCGACTGATAACGTTGTTGGATCCGATGTATTCCAACCGCCAACTGAAATTATTTCTAGCGCTAGATTTAGCTTGTTCTAAACAAATTGCCATTCAACGAGACAGAACTTGTAGGAAAACTTTTCACTTGAATGATGGAATGTTTATGACATCGAAATTTTACTGTTAAAAGATTTGCTTGGGCTAATAAAATTGGATACGTCTCAGAGACGTAGAAATGAATCGTAAAAATTTCGTCAAAACTGATATTCCTATTTTTGGATTCATAATGTAGTACGTTAGCGTAGTTGACCGACAAAAATCAGACTTACGGTGGTCTCGCGAGTAAACAGTAACGTCGCCGTTCGCTAATGATACAAACACTTTATTGTCCAAATATCTGGAACAAAGATGACAAGTAAATTATGATTATATTGCAATTAACCTTCTACAAGCTTTTGTAATAGAGCTGTCGCAATCAACTCATTTTAACCAGATTAAAGCATTTTAATTATGAATATTTTCAGTTAATCTTGGTGCTGAGTTACTTTTTTTCGAAATGGTTTTTATCCAAAATTATAATTATCTATTACTACTAGGAGAAAGAAACGAAGTTCACTCACATAATGCAATGAACACTGCTGCCGTGTTGCAGCTTGACCTTATTCCTCTTGATTCTGATGTTATCGGTGCAATTGTAGACGTGCACGCAGCCGTCCTCGGTGCCTAGCCACATGGTTGGCTGATTGAAGTCCTCGTCCAAGGCACCACTGTCGAGACTCGAGACATCACCACCCACTAAAGAGACGCTTGCCAAGTCCGCACATGGAATATCATCCGAGTCCGAGTCGTCTGAGCTTGAGCTGCAAATTTTTTCGTGCATTAAATTTTCTTCAATTATTGCCAAGGTAAATCCATTATCTGGTATACTACCAATTCATGTACATATGTCGTTAATTATGACGTAGAAATTTTGATGCACACAAGAATTAGTTTTATTATTGTTGCAAAGGAGATGTATTATTAGAGTTAGTTTGATTTCGTATCTCTTCTAACAAATGAAAAGTGTTAGTTATATTGATCGAGTAGGTATGGGTTTATTTGATATCGGAAGTTTCTATTAGTTAGATTATGGTATCAGTATACAGATGTTTTGTTGATAATGTGCACTCGTCAGTCTTGAATAAATTCCATTACTTTTAAGTACCTGTCAAGTTGAATATTTCCACTACTTGTATCTGTACTTTGAGCCAAAACACCAACAGTAGTTTTACTATTAACAAAGACATTGTTAACTGGTGCACAGGAATTTGACCTATTGAGTGCATGAACAGTAAAAAGTCAATAAGGGGTCCAGTTGATTTCTCATGAAAACTTGTTTTTTATAATTCAAGAAAAAACTAAATTTTAATTTGAAAGAAAATAATGTGGTAAAGAGTACCATTAGATGTATATGGTTTTGCACGTCGTCGTCGAACAAAAATCAATAAATATCCCAAATACTCACACAGACGTGCAGGCAGGAATGCCAGCAACGCAGAGAATTCTTGCGTTGCAGACGCCGTTGCATGACGTGACCTGCGGAGGTTCAGGACTCAAGCTCAATACACATACTTGTCCGACGTAACCGTCACTATTGCACACCCAAACGTCACGAGCTCCTTGGCCATTAGCCAATGTTGGTGCAGCGCACGTGAATTGCAAACCTGCGCGTGTTTTACGGATCGGCAGTGGGCCTACGAATTCCGGTACTGGCCTTCGATCTGTTGAGGCCACTGCATGAAAAATAAAGTTTATTGATTAGTCTGGTTGTTCGACAGGTAATATTAAAGTGTGAGAGCAATTTAAGAAGATCTATCATTTTTTACTCGGTGAACATGATGAGATATTAAACTGTGGATTGAACTGGGAGAACACCCTTACTGTCTGTACTAACAATTTTGATACATTTCTTTGTCCAGGAAAAAATTAAGTAGGCGTTCGTTCCAATAAAAATGTTGAAAAGGTTATTATTTTATTTTCTTCTCCGGAACTTTTAAATTAGCAGCATGCTTTTCTAGCCATGAACTTTTTTATAGAGAAATTTTTAGAAACGACGTACTAAGAATGTTTGCTTCCGAAAAGAGTGATAAAGCAGCTTACGCAAGAAAGATTTTCTTATATCAACTGTTATGAAAATTCTTAATAAATACTAAGTTCGCAAGTCAAAGGTCAAAATGTAGTGTAAATAATCCTTTTTCATGTGCATAAACGCAGAATTTTCCAAACTCGTCGCCTGAAGTGTAATGCAGTATATATAATTCTCGACAAAAGCAGATATGCGTAAGAGAGGAAACTGAAAAGCTCTTTATATAAAGTTTTAAATGCAAAAGTTTGCTAGTAAGAAAGAGAAAGAGAGAGAGAGAGGGGGGGGAGAGAGAGAGAGAGAGTGAGAGAGAGAGGTTTACAAAAAAAGCTCACCTAATTTTTGTTTGGCTTCATTGAAACTTTCTTCCCAGCTTGCTCGCTTGTCTGGCTTTGCAAACATCACAGATATATTCTCCATGCCACCTCTGGAATTTTGGAATTTTCCATGAGTTTATATCTTGATGTACGATAATGCGTAATGCGGAGCGATATAGCACAAGCCTCACAAAACAACAAAACAGCTTCCGTCGCTGAATTTATGCGATGCTGACTTATTTATATTTTTAATCGATGAAATAGTACATAAAATCCCTGTCATTTAATTGCTTGAAATTAATTAAAACAAGTTTATTAGAATCCGCGAAAATTGCACAAACGGAGTAGCTCAATGCCCATTGATGCAAGAGTTAGAGCTGAAGTGTTCAAGAAGAAACTTTTATTGTCGCGGAAAACGCGTAAATTTGTTCACTCTAACCGCAAGAGTCTTTTTCGCGAAAGTAAAAATAAACTCACTGCGTATTAAGAGTGAGCTCAAGACAAGCCAGCTGCGAATGTGCTGCATTACGTTCAGCCAACTGTTTCTGCGTCTGGTTGAGCATGTCCTTGATCAGATCCTCGAGCTGTTGCTTTGCCCCATGCAACGTAACGGTAAGCTCCTGCAGCTGTGCCAGAGTCGCGCAATCTTCTCGTAAGTGGTCGACTTCGCGTGCCATGCGCCTCAGATTTTCATCCTTGGCTGCAATTCATTCGATCGAGATGTTGATTGAGTTTCAGTAATATCGGTCGGTTATAGTCAGACGTAGAGAAATAAAAATTTGTATTCATCCACGCACCTTTTACAACTTCCAAATCATCCACTGGAATCCTCATTAACATTTTGTATTTGTTTGCTTCTAACAAGGCAACTAAACTGTTTGGGCAAGTACTCCTGTAAATAGAGATTCGAATAAAAATAAATGAATATTACCGCATTGTTTCTACGCATCTCGGTAGCTGCAACACTTTGGAAAATTCAAGTGTAAAGCCTAAGATATAACCTGCCTCTTTAGTTGCTAGGAATGGTAGCAGTTTTAGCGAGCGTGATACAGTAAAAAAGAGAGTAAAAATGTTTGTACTAACGTGGAGGGTTTCCTAATGGTGCCACTTCGTCGTTTGATGCTGGTGATAACAAGGAGATCCGAGAAAAGAAAGAGACCTCGTTCCTTACGCGTGCCTTGGTTCGAAGCTATGCTCACAAGATCGTGCCGGATAAACGTCCTGAAGTGATAATAAGTTGGCCTTTAGATATACTCGCGATGATCTTTTTCAATCAATCTTCATCAATTTATTTGACGGCGTGGTCGTTATCATTCGCGACGATTCGTTTAATATTTGATAATATCCTTCATCGTTATGTTCACAACAAACACTCCCGTTGACAAAGCCCTGTTCGCCCTCGATAGAATATTCAGTAGAAGTAATCATTAGTCAAAAAAAAAAGAAAATAGAGGAGAAGACAATGTTGGCCTAGTTTGCTTGGAAACTAATCAATAACACTTGCCTATCATTAGCGACAATCCCGACCAGACCTTCGACAAGAGACTGCACCTCTTTAAGAGTGGTCTGCTGTTGCTCCCACTCGAGTGACTGGCGTTCGGTACAATTGATCTTGACGACGAGCTCATGTACTTCCTTCAATGCTGCTGTCAATAAGTCTTTGTCCGGATGTGAGGCGTCCGTGTGTTTGAGTAAGCGTTGAATCAGCAATTCGTACCTTGGTATCTTTTGTACTGGCTTGATCAGCAATTGATCCAGACCAAGTTTACCTTTGTGCTCGCGTTCCATCGTCTGTGGGTTCAAAGGTTTTCCATTTATACGATGACATAGAGGTTTTTTAGAGAAAGAAATTTCTTATGTTTTTATTGACCGACTGTACAAGCATGACTAAGCGTTAAATGCCGGTCCTCGCTAAACTTTTAAAATTATATGCTGCTTTTAATAGTAAACCGATGAAAATATTAGGATTTTTTATAATCAATGTATTCTTTTGGAACTTGAACTACAATTTTCATTGAAGAAAATTAAAAATGAAGAGTTTGTAAAGTTCTCCATTGTAAAAAGATTAATTTTTTGTATAATAATCGATTGACTGGAAGAATTGAGTCTCTTTTAAGTTCCTTCAGATATATGTCGCTCTCCTCGAAATTCCGCTAGCTACTCAAAAGGGATCGTCGAAAGGGAGAAAAAGGGGAGGAAAACGGAAAAGATCGAAGAAAGAGGGAATTATGTTATGATGCATGAAATGACGGGAAAAGCCTATAGTACGATAGATAGTTAGTTACCTCAAGGAAACGGGCGAAAGCCGGCTTGGCTTGGCATGTCGTCTTGATGGCTTTTTTCGCAGACTTCCAATTGTCGAGGAAAAGAGTGTAGGTCTCGAGCACATCGGGCTTTGTGAACTACAACGAAAAAGTCAAACCACCTTTGTGAGAGACAGAGTATATTACCACGTTGAAAACTTCTACAAAGGAATTGCGCAAAGAGACATGAATTTAATCTTATGGGTAAATAATGAAGAAAAAAGCGCCATTGCGTACCACTTCAAGAAATACGTCGCCGATCGTTTGCCGTACTTCCCAAGTCTCCAGGCGTTTGCGCAACTCCTCCAGAAATACCTCATGGTGACTAAGAATTGCTGGTACCTGCGAGACAGAGAGAAGAAAAGCTTCCTGTTTATTCCAACTGAAGCTCTCATAGTACTTCGATTAACTTTTGACCCATTTATACGTGATTGACACACTTACAAATATAAGTTTTATTCTTTGTTCCCCTTTCACGATTATATACGAATGCTCGATTTTTATGCTCACAATGGAAAAGCTTTGTTGCTTTTTATTATTATTCCTAAGCGAGACGATGCTTCGAAGGTTTATTTTTAGAAAAACGATCGTTGCCGAATTTTTGTGAAAGACTTGTTTCGTTTATCTTTTCTTTATAATTGAAATTATGTAAGAAGACGCAGAATACAAGTGGTTCTTCAATACCGAATGAATTTAAAAATGTAAACCATTTTATAATTATCACTCATATATAAATCTAAAATGAAAATCATTGAAATGCAAAAAAAAGTTGTCAATGTGGAAACGTGATTTTACGTCAGCTAAGTTAATTTTATAGATGTTGAACATTAGATAAAAATCCAATCATGGCTAAATTTAATTGGCTGTAGTTACGCTTTTCCCCAAATAACTCATTTTTGCTATCGTCAAACGTTTTTCTACGATAAACTGAATTCATTACAGAGCTTTTTGTATTTTCAAAAAAATAAGAACAGTCAATCAATAATCTTTCCTTGTTATTGTATTTTCCTTCATAATTTATTATTCGAAGTCAAAAATCATGAAATTCATAAATGATTAAAATACAATACCTGATAGAATATCTCATCGACGATGACAGCATCGACGAGGTGTGCATTCTCGGGGCTCTTAAGGGTCTGTAGATATTTCTGAAACGAGCATATTTTATGGAAAATGAAAAATCAGATGTATACAAAAGTTGACTAACAAGATTAATCTCTAATCTGCGATTCGGTTAAATCATTGGCCACGCGCTCGCGGCTGGTAACATGTCGATGTCAATTTATTTTCATTGCGTCAACGACACTCTACTCTCTACTGGACAAAAGAGACGCGGTTTCAAAGCTTCGTAGAGGGAATCTTTTTCTCTTTCGCATTTTTCATCATCCTTGGAATTATTTTTGATTGTTTCGAAAAGACGCACAATCCTTTCCAAGCGTGTATTTTTCATTTTTTTTTCTATCTTTTTACTTTTTTTCCTCGATAATAATGCAAACTGCCGAAATTTAATCAAACGTGCGATCAGTTTATTTGTGTACGAAAAACGTTGACAACAATTGACTTTTATTTAATAACTGTAAATCTTTCAATGTCATTAAAACGTAGCATTTGAGTAATGACTATTCTCTTGTTTCATTGGCGAGTGAAAAGTTTATTATTATTTTTTCACGAAAGAAGTAATGAAAAATATCCACAAAATGTAAGATAACCTTGCTAGGCAACAGAGAATCTCTGTTATAACAAGTGATTCCAACCAGTGTAGGATACGATATGGGATCTCGAACCAATCACTTTCTATTGCAAAAGCACATGAAATAATTCATCACGCGTGTCATTCGTAAATACAGCAAAAAATCTTTGGAATTGATACAGGTCAATGGAGCTTTCTTTTTCTTATGGGAATTCTCATTGATTTTGGAAGGGAAATGGCGCAGTGAAATTAAAGAACGCTTGGATGCAGTGTATGGGGATGCTTCTCCTTCAATGGCGACCGTTAAAAATTGGTATAACGAGTTTCAACGTGGTCGTACGTTTTGAATGATCCACGCCCAGGTTCTCCGAAAGTACACGATATCGTACTTATCAAATGACCCTCGTAGGATGAAAAAAAAATTGATAACAAAAATTGTTGCTCGTCTCGATGATTTATTGATAAAAATGACTGGCAAAGGCAGCATTAAAAATGTTATCAGGCTGGAAAGCGTCGAGTTTTCGAACGGAAGCGGCATTTCAAACGTAATAAACTATTGAACTTGCTAAAGAGACTTGGTAACCTGCAAAATTTACAGTACATGAATTCTCTCGAGAGTGATACGATTGAAGCTAATGAATGTGCAGAACGCGCTCGTTTCACGGGACTTTCTTAATTCACACGCACTTCACAACCTAATAACTTGTCAACGATTACAATAGACAAGCAGTCGTCGTGTAGTAGAATGGCCTCCACCAACCTTTCATAATACGCATATTATACGTAAAGCGATCGTTCACGTGTGGCGCCGTGGCGCCCTGTTCTACGTACATTATGCGTAGCGCATAACGGCAACGTGACGTAAAAGTCTCATACATTGATTTTCTCACTCTGATCATGAATTCACTCTTTTGAAGATTGATTGATTTCTTTATCACATCTCGCAAAGTTTTCTTTGGTCCGTTTGTTTAAAACTCACTAACTATGCAACCAAAGGCAAATGTATACTTTGATAAAGAAACTTTATTTTTTTGCAAAGTGATAATTGAAGAATAGGGTCGATCCAACTTGATCTTAGCCAGTAACAACAACAACGCAAAGAGTGAGAAAGGAAAGTTTGGTAAAACGCAAACAACAAAACTATCTTGCGTGCCGCGGTGCCGAGGGCAAAGTGCTTTCCGCAGTCGCGCGTAATTCGGTCCAGTTTTCCTTGTTTGTGTATGACCGTGTATGCGTGTGTGCAGCAAGTAAGAAAACTTTTCATCGAGGTCTTGGCCGTCACGCTTAAATCCAGATACTAAGTTTACATTAGATTAAGCTGTCTCTCTCACTCGAGGGCGTACGCTATTCAACCGTTATGCTTTTACGCTTCGAGTCACCTTTTTTGCCCGCTTTAGAAACGTTCATTTTTTAAAAACTTGAAATGTGTGCGCACGCATGACATGGTGTTCTCGGTACTAGCCATCTGTTGATGTCAAACGATGCAAATGCTAACTCAACGACAAAGTAAATACATTTTTAATGAAATTGCACGCTGTCGTCTAACACAGCTACTAATTCCAGTGAAATTATTGGGTCTATATCGTCGCAGCAAACTGCCGATAAAATATCGCTAAAATCTTGTTTACCATGAAAATTTCCTCTTGCACTTAGCCGAGATGTCAAATTGCCATTGCAAGTGTTGACGCATTTCATATCAAATGAGTTCAGTTCAATATCAATATGTTTTTGTTTACTGCCTTTAGTTATTTAAGAGAGTTAACGAGCTTAATTTTCCATAGTGACGTGCTACTTTATAATGTAAATCTTCAGACAACTCATGTAAAATTTTAAGATATATGTATAAGAGCTGTTGCAATTTTAATAAATCTAAGAGGTACTGAGGTCGTCATTCAAAATCAATGTTAATTATTGATAGGCATGGCATTCATCGCGATGGATTTGAATAGGTTGAGTAGTTTTTCGGACAAACGGCTATCGGTTGCAGAAAGAAGAGCTAGAAGCAATTTGACTGAACCAAAATTACTCACTGACGACATTCTTGGAAAGTTTTACATACTTCCTCTCTTTTTTTTTTTTTTTTATTTTATTTATTTATTGTCGCATCCCCCGGAGTGGGTATTAGCGACAGTGATACATAGGTAAAATCGTTACAGGATCTTATATAGTTAACATTTAAGTATACAAAGATATATATTATTGCATGGTTAAATTATATAATGTTCGTTATTTTTGTTCTTTTTAAGAATTTAATTACATTTTGACATTGGTTTACATTATTGAGTAGGGTATCTATGTCACTAGATAACTTATATTTTTGTCTATCATTTTGGTATTCTGGGCAGTGTAGGAGTAAGTGTTCAATATTAAGTCGAGTAAAGCATTTATCGCACATTGGTGGATCTTCTTTGTTCAGAAAATGCTGGTGCGTTAGAGGGGTGTGTCCAATTCTGAGTCTTGTGATAAGGATTTGATTTCTTCTGTTGAACTTGGTGGCCGGGTTGGACTGAAATACATGTTTTTTGATTTTTCGTAGTGAGCAGTGATTCGTTTCTTCTATCCATTGGTTGTTCATTTCTTTATTTATCTCATTTTTCACCATTTTGATACCTATGCTTTGATTTATTTTGCATTCTATGGGATAGTTTAGTTGACAGGCCATTAAAGCTGTATCATGTGTGATCTTATTGCCTTTAGGATCAGCTAGATTTATTTCAACTATCCCTTGGAGGGAAGTTAATTTATTCTGTATGTGTTGGATAATCGTGTTTTGCGGTTGATCCTGTTGCAGTTGGATGATTAAGTCTTCGCAGTATGTGTAAATCGTTGTTCTTCCAGTAAAGGTAGTGTTACATAAAATGTGTAGGATTAATATTTCTTGCGAAGATTGCAGTCCATAATACTTTGGTAGCTTCAAAAGTACTTTTTCTTGTGAAGGAAGGATAGCGGCGGCTCCAATGCTGTTGGCCGACAAACTGATCCTTGTGTATATATGGAGCGGGTTGGAAGAGGAATTGGTTTCTTTACAGACGTTATTTTCACTGTGTTTTATAGTTTCCTCATCTGCTCTTGGTTTAGATGTTTTGTTAGTTGTAGTAGATTCGTAGGTAAGAAAGTCATTGTAACTTATGTTGTAATTGCTGAGATATTTTTTGGCTCGCTGATAAAAAGGTTTTCTTTGTTGTGGTTTGTTTGGATCATAAATGCTGAGATTTTTTGCTAGGAGACAGTGCGCTTGATTATGAGGTGAATGCAAGAGTTTTATAGCGTAGTTCAGAATTAACTTTTTCCGTCTTAAAGCTAGGGGTATCATGTTACTTTCACTGAGAATACTGATTATTGGGCTGGTTCTATAAGCTCCGGTGGCTATTCGCATGCATTCATGTAGTATGACATTTAGTTTGCTCAGTGTGCTTTCACTGGCTGAATCGTATGCTACGCAACCGTAGTCTAATTTTGATTGGATTAGAGCTTTGTATGTGTTAGTTAGTACTTGTTGACTAGCACCCCAATTTTTTGCGGATAAACACTTTAATGTATTCAGTCGACGTATACATTGATTTTTTAGTTCAGTGATGTGCGCTTTCCACGTTAGTCGTTTATCAAAGATGATGCCCAGAATTTTAACTTGGTCGACTACTTGGATGGTTTCTTTGCCGATGGTCAGTTGAGTGTCTTGATTGTTATTGCTGTAATTCTGAAATAATATGGCTTGGCACTTTGTAGACGAAAATTGGAATCCGGTCGTATTGGTGAATTCAACTAATTTATTTAGTACGTTCTGCATGAGCTTGATACTGGTATTAATGTTTTTCCCTTGTAAAAGTAAGGTAATATCATCGGCGAAGGCTGTACATTTAATCGGAGCTTGTATGAGTTGGAAGATATCGTTTAATGCTATAAGAAATAATGTTACGCTAATCACTGACCCTTGTGGGACACCATTTTCGATTGATATCGCTTCTGATAGTATATTAAGTATGCGCACTCTTATAGTTCCGTTGGATAAAAAATTTTTGATGAAATGCAGGATGTGTCCTGTGATTTTGAGTTCAATTAATATTTGTAGAATTCTTCGGCGCCATAGTAAGTCGTAGGCTTTGTTCATGTCCAGACAGACAGCAAGTAGATGTTGTTTAACTGCAAAGGCTTCTCCTATGTTTGACTCAAGTGTGACTAGACAGTCAGTTGTGCTACATTTCTCTCTGAATCCGCTTTGGCAATTGTTCAACATGCGATTGGATTCAAGAACCTGTTTAAGTCTTTTATTAATGATTTTTTCTAGAATTTTGCACATACAACATGTTAGTGCTATTGGTCTGTAACTATTTTTGTCATATTTACTTTTGTTGGGCTTAAGTATTGGTATAACAGTAGCTTGTTGCCATTCGTTGGGAAAAAGATTCCTCGACCATATTAAATTGTAAATATCTAGTAGACATTTAATGCCTTTAGATGGGAGTTGTTTGAGAAATATGTTAGGAATGGAATCTGGCCCTGGGCTCGTATTTTTGCTGTTATTAAGTGCCGATGTTAGTTCATTCATAGAGATTTGCCGGTTTATTGTGTTGCTACTGGTGTCGTTTTGCGGAATTTCTAAAGGGGTTTGAGATTTTTTGTATAGCAGAAATTCTTCTGTGAGATTTTCATCACTTGCGTTATTTGCAAATGATTTTGCTAATTTATTGGATATTGTGTAAGGATCATTTATTACAGTGTTGTTTTCTTTTAAAATTATTGTTTGATGAGAGTTTTTACCTTCGATCGATTTGATTTTGTTCCAGATTTGGTTTATAGGCTTCTGATAATTCATAGATCTTAAAAATTCCAGCCAAGATTCTTTTTTACTGGTTTTTATAGTTCTTTTTGCTATTGTTTTTAATCGTTTGTGTTCAATTTGGTTTTCTAGTGTTCCTTTCCGTTTCCAAGTGTTAAAAGCTCGTTTAGCATTTTTAACAGCAGTTTCACAGTTTTCATTCCACCATGGAGTGTTGTGTTTAGGAGTTTTCTGAGAGCTAATAGGTATGCTTTCATTGGCTGCGTAAATGATTATCTCTTTGAATTTTTCAATGATGCTATTTATGTCGTTATTGTTGCTGTCGGCGAATATGCTAATTAATAGTTCGAGCTCATTGATTTTGGAATTGATGCTTTCTTCGTATTTTCTCCAGTCAGCTTTATAATACTTCCAGCGCTTGATTTTGATATTTGCTTCGTTTATTTCTGTGTTGAATATAGTCGTCACGAGAGGAAAATGATCGCTTCCGTATAAATAGTCGAGGGCTTCCCAGTTGAGTAGTAGGGCCAGGTCATTGCTGCAGATAGTTAGGTCTATCGAACTTAAGTTGCCGGTAGCCGGGCTGCAGTACGTCGGAGCACCATTGTTAAGTAGTTCGATATTGTTATTTTCAAGAAGTTCTCCTATGATTATCCCTCTATCGTCAATTTTGATTGAGCCCCATAGGGAGTTATGGCTGTTAAAATCACCGAGAAGTATAAAAGGTGGAGGGAGTTGGTTGATTATGTTTTGTAGCATTTCCTTGTTGATATTGTATTTATCGCTCAGGTACACATTACAGATCGTGATAAGTTTATTGTTAATAACCGTTTGTGCGGCGACTGCTTCAATTTCTGTATTTAGAACTATTTCTTGGCTGTATAACTTTTCATTAATTAAAATGCATACTCCGCCACTGGCTATTAAACAATCTTGTCTATTTTTGTTATAACAATAGAAGTTTTTAACTTTAGCTTTTTCGTTACCTTTTAAATTTGTTTCTTGTAAGCATACGATATCAGCCTTTTCCTGGGAAATTAGGGACTGCAGGTATTCGAATTGTTGTGCTAAGCTATTTATATTCCATTGCATGATTCTAGCCATTTTTAGTAAGTTTATTCTACATCTGAGTTGTTTGGTGTTGGGTCTGGTGTAAGATTTGTGTTTGGTAGTTCGATGCATTTTACTAGTCTCGTGCAGCGATTTTTGATGCTAGAGTTACGTACGTTTGGTTTAATTTCTTCTTCAATAAATTGTTTAAACTTTTCTAGATCAGGGCTGTATTGTTTGATAATGTCGATGGGTTGTTTGACTCTACAAGTGTTTTCGAGAAGACTTTTAAATTGATTATAGTTTAGAAGTGTTCCATCTGTGTTCAAGTAACCTCTGATGCTGCGAAGTTTAACGTCTAGATCATCTTCGAATTCGTTATTTTGTTGGGACATTTTGACATTTTCATCGCTTTCGTCTTGTTTGTTAGTCATTACAGTGCCTACTGTTGCTTCTTTTGATGTATCGGCGTCTAATTTACTTAGTTTGCGCACTTGTTTGATTTTATTTTCATTAGGACTAATGCTTGTGTTGGTAGTTTGAGTAGGACTAATCTGTGATTCGTTCGAGCTGATTTCAGAATGTAATCTTTTCTGCGCGAGAGTAGTATTATCCGGTGCTTGTGGTATCGTGGGATCGTTCTGGCTTTGCGAGTCAGCTGTTTCGTCTATCTCCATGTGTCCGATGTTTGCTTTTTCTACGTTAGTACAGTCCTTTGCTAGGTGGCCTTCTATGTTGCAAGCAAAACATTTGATAGTGTCTGTGCTCGAGTAAATAAAGTAGCTAACTTCATCATAATTGATTTTGAAGAGAGTGGGAATTTTCTCGATATCTTCCGGTTTGACATATACTTGTTTGCGCCAACTACCTACGTGTTCATATCCTTCTTGTGTGATTGAAGCTTTCAGAGGTATAACAGGGGACCCTCTGTTTACTAATAGTTGGTCGAGAATGTCTTCAAATATGTAGTTTGGTATACTCGGAGAGACATTTGAGAAGATTACTCTCTTGAATTTACTTACTAGTGGTCTGACAGGTACTGCGTGCTCGCCGATTGTGATGGTCTTATGCTTGTCGGTGAAGTCGTCAGCTAGATTTTTGTTTGATAAGTATATACAGATGCGGTTTTTAGATATTCTTGAAGCGAACAGGACATTGATAGGTTTGACGATTTTTCCTATGACACACGTGTAGTCCGTGAGTGTCAGGTCTCCTACACAGTCCATAAGGATGGCTTGGTCACGTTTGGGAGTTTGGTCTTTTTGAGCGATTAAAGCATAGCTGGTGTAGGAATTGTTGATTGTGAACGTTGGGACTTCTTTTGGGGATTGGGTTGGAGATGTAGGTGTCATGGTTATATTCACTGCACAACTTTTACTTGATTGTGAGGAATAGACAGGCTAGGCCCGTACACGCACAACGTAACAATAACACTCGCGAGGAGCGATTATATCACACGTCTAATCGATACGAATGCTACGCGTGAACTATACTTCCTCTCTCTTTCCTTATTTTGTTCAAAGTTAACTAGATTTTAATCTGAACAAGTTTCGAAACGATTAAATATTCTCACTCGCAACTACCGTGGTTATGGATGCAAACTTGTTTGTTATGTTTTTGTACACCACTTCACAAAATATTCAAGGTTTATTCTTCTTTGGAAAGCTAATTTTACATTCACGTAAAAGCGTTAACTAATAATTTCTCCTTGGAAGGCTTCGCTTTTCAAGTAGCTTATGAGATTGATTGGATTCTTTTCTGAAAAATTACCTATTTCTTACGATTCTAAAATGGTGTAAAGCGCCTTTTTACGATGATTCAAAGAAAACGCAACGACAACAATGTTCGATATTTTCTGATCAGCAGTGGAGTGAATAGTACAACGTAATGTTTAGAGAAATTTTTTTATTTTATGACAAGTAACGCAATGCGATTCATGTTGCTCATTTTCAATGGTAACAAGATTTTTTCTTATGTAAAATATCGATTGCATTATTCTTCAAGAGCCCAAGTTGTTGAAACAACATTTTTAACAAATATACTGACGTTGTGTCGTAATAGAGAACCAGAGGAACCGTTTTATCGATTACGTTGTTCATTCAGATTTAAAAAATTCATCGAACTATGCAATCGATGACATTGTTGCTCTAATACATTTCTATAATTTCAAAGTCATTAAAAAAAATGACCCCCGGGATACCATTCCTAATAAAATTTAAGAATGTTTGTTTTCACTGTTATTCTCAATTTTATATTCCATCATCTATCATTTAATAATATACGATACGCGTTACTCAATGTATATTAGAAAAAATATTATTATAATGGATAAAGTACTCACATTGACTAGTATTTGCAAGGCCTCAACGTAGGAACGTTCGGTGTCGTATAGTTCTACGACGACGTGAGTTCGCGTATCCTGAAAACAAAATTACAACTCCTATAGACAAACCATAATTGAAGCTGTATTAATGAAATAAGATCACATTCAAATTATTTTCAAAGCCGCAATGAAGTAAAATAATATTTATACATTCTTTCATTCATCTATCACACGAAAATAATGTTATTATTTGTTTATACACGCAGTATAAAACCATAGCTCACTCTAGAGCAACACAAGTTCTAATAAAATTAGTTTCCATTTAAATGATGCAAATATATAATGAGGAAAAGCTAGTTTGCGTGACTCAATTCAAATTATAGTAAATATTCAAGTAATACTTCTTTCAAATATCTATTTCCAGATTTATTTATTTGTTTGATTGACAATGAACTTATTGAATAAATTAACGTCTTGTTAATCAATTTATAAATCAGAATATAATATAAGAAATATTCATATTACCGTATAATTGTTTTACCGGGGATCAATTCTGAGTTACCTTAACACGCGAAATATCAAATGAAATAAAGAAGTAATTTAATTGAAGCAATGCATATGTTTCTTTTTTTTATTACATTAGCGGGAACGCATTCGAGAATACAATTACATGCGCTGAATATACTAAACACGCGTGGAAGCAATTAAGATCAGATTTACACAAAGACCATGTCGCATCAGTTGTATATGGAAATTCTATTTCGCCGACAAGCATTATCGAAGAATACTACCATGAAAAGTCGTTGTAAACGAGCCAGTGGCTGATCAAAAACATTTCATTGTCATGTAACATGAAGAGGAAGAGCGTAAAACGATTACGCGTGCTATGACGATTAACAAGCTGATAGCCTCACCACCCGTAGTGATGAGGAGTGAATCTCTCTTCCACGAGGCACACGTGCCATATATACTGTAGGCTCGGACGCTTGCGAAAAACGTGAGTGATCCACGTGCGGCTCTGCCGCTGTTACTACTGCTGCTGGACATTGATGAGGGCTACTCGCGTGTGCGCCTTATTCTCTACTTCTTTCGTCCTGAGGCAAGGTGACATTGAATAATAACCAGTTGTATGAATGTGCGCACATATATACATGCTGTTTGGAAACTTCGGACGCGTCAACTACATAAGATTCTGACACGTTACGTGGGGTAACGCTTGCCTTCTTATTTTTTCGGCCATCCTGGTTTGTATTGCAAGCTGATTTTTTATTCATTCAACGACTACGATTCATAAGTACGACAGAGATTATTCTTTTCATCTTGGCTATCGATTGGACTATTGCCAAGTGCTTGTATAGTGCTTACATTGGCCTCTTTCATTGGAGTGCAGCTTGAGGTACATCTCTTTGTGCTCCTTGAGAACTTTATGCATTCAAATGCATTTGTGTTACAGAGATCACATGTGTTTGTTATGGAAGCGATATAAAGAAGGCTATATGGATATATATTTCTGACTAACGTCAGAAGCTGCTCGTTTTTTCGCTATTCAATGATTAAAACACTATCACGTTTTTCAATAAATGCAGGTTGCTAAATCAAAGCTCACATATCATTCATACTCTACATATGTTTACCATACAATAAGGAAATAAAGGTATTCGCACTTATATTAAGGTTGCATAAAACTATCCGCTTAATGATTTAGTTCAGCTCAGTAGGCTAAACAACTGACCCTCGTGTGTGCCATTTCATATTAAATTTATCCGAAAATTAGTAAAATATACTACCATCAGGAGTTTAATACTTGTAAATATGTTTGAAAATATGACATAGCGGTAACAATAATTTCTTAACGTATTCATGTAAATAAGAATATTGCACTTGTGCCGGCCAAACGGATAAAAATATCGCAACCAATTTTACAATAACTCCTTTTAGTTATCTTTGCCTATTACAGTACATGCTTTTATAATGAAATTCTTTGTACAGTAAACAACAAAATAATTTTGAAAAACAATAAAAAAATGTACTTAATTGTAAGGGAACTATTGACAACGATATACATTTTAATAATCACATTGATTAAGTAAAAAATTATCGAAAAATAATAGCGTGCAAAAATAAATCTTCTCCAAATGTATAAATTAAACGAATATTAAAAAAAACATGAATACACAAGAAGGAATACTCATGGATTTGAACAAACGGGCTAATAATTCGACAAGACAAGTGTTACCCACCGAGTCCTTAGTCGACTGCCTGCCATCCTCGCTATCGACGGACAGCTGGCTGAAGAGTCGAGACTCAACGCTCATCATCTTCGGCACGATAATCATTGATTTGACTCCTTTCATACACTCCGCTTAAATACCTTACTTGCACGTTACTCACTACTTCGTCTTGATCACAGACAGTTTCTTTTTTATTATTTCTTAGACGGGCATTGCTGTGCCGCTGTAGAAAGTTTGCATTGCTTTGTTGTGGCTACATCTATCTTAACGTGAATACGTCGCCCATCGATATAAGTGCATAAAATTTGGAATGCATTAATTAATATGCCTTTACGAAGACCCAGAATTCATGTATAAGCTTAGCTCAGTTTCTTTGAAAGACTATAGCGTGTGTGTTGAAGTTTTACGATCAGCTCACACTCTCTCGGCTATCTACAATAATGTTTAGTCTGTGAGATTATTTAGTATGCCACATAGAGCCTATCTAACATTTGTGAACTTTCTTTTATATTTTTAAAATATATTTATTGATGTCTGACCGTACGTATTTTTCTCTACTTGAAATACTCTTTCATGTGCGAATTCTTTAGCTTGCAAAATAAAAAACTTTCTATTTTATTTCAGGTAAATAATCAATAATAGAAATAAATATAGAAAACACAATACCTGAAATTTCTTCTTAACGTGATTAGAATTTATTCGTTAATGTAACTGTCGAAAACCCGAACACACGGTAATTAAAGATGTCTGGCAATAGGCTTAACTGAAGATGCGTCAACCTTCATTAAGTCAACCCCATGAAAGGCATGAGCCGACTGGTACGACCCTCGGTTGCAATTTCGTAATATAAAAGTTTCGCGCGCGCGGCACGCGGAAGCTTGTAGCGCCTGCGCATTGCCGTCCTCCCATCCAAATTCGACTGAAGGACGACTGCAGGGAGAGGCATATAAAATAATACAAGATTCACTATTTTCATTATATTACGAACTTGATTGCGTATTTTCTAAATGTCCTGTTATCAATTAACGAATTCTCCTGTACCACAGGATTTGTTCTCCATGAAAATTTGCTATTAATCGCCCACGACAGTTCAATCCGCTTTCCAGTCGACACATAATGACGTCAACGTTTGACAATCAGTGCAAACAAAACATTCATTATAAATTCAGTACGCAGAAATCAAATTTATCTCGTTGAATTTATACTCAGTAAAATTAATCCCTGCATGTTTTCAGAACTAATTAAAAGGCCCTCATCATTATCACCCAAGATAAAGCAATTACAGTTGTCAAAAACTATAACAATCGCGGTGCACGTGCTTTTCCTTCATAATTTTTTTCATCGTCGCCGACGTCGACCTTGAAGATAACTTAGGGGGTTATCGAGGCTTTCAAGGATGTATTATACGTGTATCGTTGTGTACACGCACGCTCACGCGTCTCATCTCATTATCGCGAGTTTTGCCATCTCGATGAATCTATCATGAATTCTTATTATTATTAATATTATTATTACTATTATTATTATTATTATTATTATTATTATTATTATTATTATTATTATTATTATTATTTGTAGTTTTAGAGTTGTAATAGGTTAATTAAGACATTAATAATTTATTTAATTAGTTTTCTTGCGTTGGAAAGATTTTTATTTTTGTTCAATTTTTGATAAACTAAGGAAGATTGAATCTTTTTTTATTCTTTTCACAAGTGACAAAGTATTTTATATATTTGACTAATTTATCGAAATGGCTTAAAACATAAGAAGTCTTTCATATCAAATGTTGCAATATAATTTTAGCCTATTGAAGTGTGATAATGTCAAAAAACTTCTATTAGACTATAAAAATAGTTATTCACGCGGAGTTAAATAGGATGTACCTATTAATTCCGTAATTCTCTCTGTATGACTAACGTTCTTTACAGCACTTAAAATCAGACTTGATTTTATACAGATTAATATTAGTCTTTAAAACTTTTATGCTTCGAAGCGTAGTTTTATATTATTTATATTTGATTCTTATTGCATATAAAATATTACAATACCCGTTTTCACCATCGTAAGTAGCGTTATAAAAATAAGCAAATCAAAATTGGTCATCGTGTCATGGCTTTATATAGATAGCTATATGCATTTACTCTATATATGAATCAATTATTTTCATCGAATTTTAGATTTAGAGTCTCGATTTTTAAATAAACATAATAGCGTTATTATGATTATGTGTCATTCTAGATTAGTAATGAAAATAAGGGAAGATAATATGATGAGTTTAAGCTGTAGTGTAAGAGAATTGTTTTTATAAAATTCGAATAATAAGATAAATTAATAAATTGGTCGATTGTCAAATAGTATTAGGCATGTGGTCGAACAAAGTAACTTACTGACAATACAAAATCGATTGTGCGAATTGGCTATTGAAAAACAGATATTGAGCGAGAAATAATTATTGAAAGTGAAATGATTAAGAATGCACATTAACAAATTAAAAAGCAATCTGTCAAGTTAGAAAAAAATATCTCCATAGAATTGAAATTACCGGTCTAATTAAAAAGTTGATCTAAACTCCCGGCATTCGTAGCCTAGAATGTAAAAACCGTTAATATGTTTGAAAAATAGAAATGAAATATATAGATATATGTACCTTGCAGTAGTGAATGTAAGCATTGCAGTCCAATAGAAAGCGTGCAGAAAACACACACTTGTCTTGCTCTGGCTCTTTCTCGCAAGCACTAAACGTAATAATGTTGTCAACCTATCGCAGGCACTTGCTCGTGGCAGACTGAAGCGCCGGCAGGTAGCATGCTCCTGTATCCCGGCGGCGCCCGCTCCTCGCTCATCGATCCCCCCTCGCGCGCGCGC